TCTCCTACTATTAGTGTGTGTGGTTTGATGACTGCCTTGAGTTCTAGAAGTGTTTCTTTTACATAAGTAGGAGGCTTTATATTAGGGGCGTAGATATTCAGGATTGAGACTTCCTCCTGATGAATTGTTCCTGTTATGAGTATAAAATGTCCATCTCCATCTCTTCTGATTGATTTTAGTTTGAAGTCAATTTTGTTGGAGATTAGAATGGCCATGCCTGCTTGTTTCTTAGGTCCGTTTGCTTGAAAAACCTTTTCCCAACCCTTTACTCTGAGTAAATGTCTGTCTTTGTGGTTGAGGTGTGTTTCTTGTAAACAGCAGAATGTTGGATCCTGTTTTCGTATCCAGTCTCTTAGTCTGTGCCTTTTTATAGGTGAATTGAGTCCATTAATATTAAGTGATATTAATGACCAGTGGTTGTTGACTCCGGTTATTATTATTTTTTGTTTGTTTGATTAATAGAGTTTGTATGTGTCCCTTCTTTGAGTTAAGCTTGTGAAGGGTCGCTAGATGTCTGAGTTATTGTAAGCATTGCTGGCAATGTTGGACTCCTTTGGTTGCAATTTTCCTTCTATTACTCTCTGTAAGGCTGGGTTTGTGGCTGCGAATTGTTTAAATTTGTTCTTATCCTGGAATATTTTGTTTTCTCCATTGATAGTGAATGATAGCTTGGCTGGGTATATTAGTCTGGGCTTGCATCCATGGTCTCTTAGTTTCTGCAGTACCTCTATCCAGGACCTTCTGGCTTTTATGGTTTCCATTGAGAAGTCCGGTATGAGTCTGATAGGTTTACCTTTATAAGTTACTTGCCCTTTTTCCTTTGCAGCTCTTAATATTCTTTCTTTAATCTGTATGTTTTGTGTTTTGATTATTATATGGCAAGGGGATGGTTTTTTTTTTTTATCAAGCCTATTTGGTGTTCTGTATGCTTCTTGAACCTTCATAGGAATATCATTCTTTAGATTGGGAAAGTTTTCTTCTATAATTTTGTTGAACATATTTTCTGGTCCTTTGATCTGCAGTTCTTCTCCTTCTTCAATCCCTATTATCCTTAGATTTGGTTTTTTTATTGTGTCCCAGATTTCTTGAATGTTTTGTGATGAGAATTTATTGGATTTGCTGTTTTGTTTGATCTGAGCATTTATTTTCTCTATGGTATCTTCAGACTCTGAGATTCGTTCTTCCATCTCTTGTATCCTATTGGTTATGCTTGATTCTGTAGTCTCTGTTCGTTTACCTAGATTTTCCATATCCAGCCGGCCCTCGTTTTGTGTTTTCTTCATTGCCTCCATTTCAGTTTTCAATTCTTGAACTGTTTCCATTACCTGTTTGATTGTTTTTTCTTGGTTTCCCAATATATCATTCATGGATTTACTCATTTCTTCGATTTTTTTTTTATATTTTTCATCCATTTCTTTACTCATTTCTTCAATCTTTTTGTTAAACTTCTCATCCAGTCTTTAAGGGAGTTATTCATATCCTGTTTAAGGGACTCTATTGCTTTCATAATGGCATTTTTTCCCGCTTCTTCTGAATTAAGAGGTTCAAGTCCTTCTATTGTAGGGTCATTGGGTTCTGGCGTTTTCATGTTGTTTTTTAGATTGTTGGAGGAGTTCTTGCCTTGGCGTCTGCCCATCTCTTCCTTCAAATGCTCTCTACTGGATCTTCTAGTACCAGGTCAAGTTCCCTTGTTGGGCAGGGAATTCACTGGCAGAAGGCCTACCTTTCCTCAGGCAGTCTATTGAAACACAGGCACTCCCTACTACCGGGTTGTACTCACAACCCAGGCCCAGCAAGCAAGGGAGTTGCTCTGGAGAGATCTTGTGGCCCCAGAGGGAAGGGGGGAAGAGAGGAAGGTATACCTGGATAAAGGCTGGGACATGATTCGGGAGAGCTCCGCAAGGAGGAGTTGCCTCTGCCTGGTGACCAGATTGTCGAGGGGGGCGGGGAAAGGCTGAATTCCTCCTAGAGGAAGCCCTCTGGCCAGGAGAAAACTCACCCCTCCTCCAATGGAAGTCTGCTAGAAGTTCACTCTCTCTTGCTGGCCAGGAATGTGATTGAGCTGAGACAGGGCTTGTCTTTCCTCAGGCAGGCTCTCAAAGCACCAGAGCTGCCCCTGCCGGAC